TTTTTTTAAAAAAAAATAAAACTATGTATACATGTTTATATGGTAAATATTTATCATGATATATATATTAATAACACTTTAATGTATAAATTTTATACACAAAATATTTAATTTTGTTACTTTTATGTATATTTATATGAGAAAAATACTCTATATATAATTTTAAAAATTATAAAATTAATATTCGGGTCAGTAATTGACCCGACGGTTGAACAGGTGACTCAGTGACCCGAAAACCTGCCCAGGTCGATTACCGGTGAGGTTTAAAAACTATGAGTAAATGAGCTCTTTGAATGCCTTTAATAGAAAAACGTGTTCTGATGGTACTTAGAATTCAGACTCTCACATTGACTTTCATCACGATATTCCTACACATAATTTCTCAAGTTAAGTGAATTAAATTGGAATGATTTTGTGTTGAAGAAAAAGGATAAAATCAAAAAATATGATTCAATTCAATTAACATGATATGGAGTTTTGAATCATAAGTTGTACCTAAAGGTTGGACGGCTTGTGATATTATTGAGGAGTGTTGGCCTTTTCCTTGATATTTTGTATGCGATCATGTATGTATGTGGCAAGTTTGGTGATTAATAAGCTCATCAACAATGTTATATATTGAATGAAATATTCTAAAACAAGATCGAAAGTTGCGTGTTAAAGTTCTCTTACACAACTAACAATCACTCTATCTGACGTTAGGATATTAGTAAAGTTTCAATCCAAATATCTATATAATGGTGTCCCTATGCCTAATTATTAATAATTAATAGATGGCGTCAGTCTCTTTTGTATTTGAGTTTAATAATGAAAAATTCAATTTTATGGGTTAAATTTTAAATATAAATGTTGTTTTTTAACTTTGTAAATTTGAGAATATTAATTTTTAACTATGAGAACTCTAATCATAAGACACGTTCTCAAAAATGTTGTGGGGCGAGGGGCGGTGGCGCGCACAGGTTCCATGAGCAAGCATTTTTTTTTTGTTGGGGTGTGGCTATTGGAATTACTCACTGAGCTCAACGAGGTACATATATACAGTGATTATATATCCAAACTCTATATTTCAGTAATTTTCAAAATGAACAAAACAAAACAAACATCAACTCTTTCATATGTAAAAACTGAGATTAAAAAAAAAATTAATCAACCAACATGTCATATTTTATTAGAATTTGATCACAAAAGTCAGCACCTCAACAAATTCAACAGTCGTGATATTTGTGCACCGCCCGATCTCAACCTTCCATGGAGCACCATTGATAATTGTAACTCTTCTACAGCTATATTAGCAACAATAAATTAGTGTTATATTAGCAACATAAATTAGTGTTGTAACCTTCCATGGAGCACCATTGATAATTGTAACTCTTCTACAGCTATATTAGCAACAATAAATTAGTGTTATATTAGCAACATAAATTAGTGTTGTATTAGTGACTGATAATGGTAACTCTTCTACAGTTATATTAGTGACTGATAACTGTAACTCTTCTACAACTATATTAGTGATAATTGTAACTCTTCTACAATTATTTTTATTCTAGTCAGTTCAATTATTATTTTTATTCTATTAAGTTTCAATTATAATTATATTTAAAGGATTATCAAAATAGTTTATTAGAATCTTATTTTATAATTGTGTTGATGTAACATGTATTAATTTGGGACTACATGTTATACTCAAAATATCAACAAATTCGTATATGATCAAATTAGGTTTATTAGATTGACATGACTATCCAAAAACCGTTGTAAGATATTTCATATATTTAACATGAGGTATTAAACTAATCACCTAAATAGCATTGAAACTAGAAATAAAAGCAAAATAAAAATTGGGGAAAAAATTAGTGGCCACAAATTTCAAATGAATCGTATATAATTTGTCATTGACCTATAAACTTGGTCAGTCAATGAAAAAAATTGCCACCTTTTCTCTCTCACCCCCACAATAGTGCAACTTATTTCTCCCATGCAATTTAATCCAAACTTCTCATCCATCCACTTTTATATAAACTTTCCACCTCTCATTGTCCTCTCTCATTCTTGAAGAGTGTTGCAGTATTTTCTCTATTAATCTCCAACCAAAATAAAGAGAAATTTACTGCATTGTATTTTCCTTAAAAAGAATCTCAAATTTCAAAAAAAAAAAAATATATATAAAATAAAATAAAACCCAAGTACACTAAAAATGGCTCGCCTATCGACTTTTCTCGTCGTCCTCTTCGTGGCCTCGGTTGTCTCTGCCCAATCTCCGACTGGTGCCCCTCGAGCTGCACCACATGCAGCCCCCACAGCACAACCTGTGGCGGCTCCCACCCATGCTCCGGCCAGCCAACCACCGGCTGCCGCCAGCTCGGGACCTTCCCCTGTCGGAGCCTCCCCGGAGGAGGAGCCTTTGTCTCCCCCGGCCCTTGCACCCGAAACCGAGGCTCCGCTTGCCGATGCCCCGACCGGGTTGGCCCCCGGCACTGCCCCTGCCGCCGCCCCGGAAGCTGACTCAGCAACCGGAGGAGCCGCTGGAATTAAGGTATCTGCTGCCGTTGCTGTGGTGGCTGCCGCCGCTGGGTACTTGGTGTTGTAATAAAGGCGTTGTAGTAGTTTGATATTTGATTTTTTATAATTATGTATGTATGTGTTTGTGTGCGTTGTTGCATTGTTGGAAGTTATTTGATGTAATTCATTTGTTATGCTAATGTATTTTTGTGTGATCATTTGATTTATTTAATGATCGAAGAGCGGGTGATATCCGGAATTCTTGTTTTATTGTATTTGGTCCTTTTCGCTGTTTGTGAAAGATTTGTGTTGTGTCGGCGTTGAACCTGCCAAGCAAAACATTCAGGTTTGAACCAGAACCAACACATGTAATATACAGACTCAATTCAGTAATAGTTCTGGCCCACACCCCTGGTCCATGGGCTCGGCCCGCTAGTCAACATGTCTAGGCTCGCTTGGGCCTCTAGTCCGACCTAGTCATGATAATTTAGTGGTAATTTAACACAAATACATTTTGACGTTTCTAACAATAGCGGAGTGACAATGTAGATGCAAAATTGTATGCAACAAGCGAATGAGCTCTTGTCGAATGCGAACGAGCTTTTGTTCGTGAACATTCTCGTTCGCATTCGATTCATTAACAATAGTAGTCAGAGCGCTTCATCATAAGAATTTGTCTATAATTATTTTATTGATCTACTGTCAGTGAATGTGTCTTAGTAAATAGAAGGATGGGCCAACTTATCAAACTGCTCTTCCACTTGGCCCACTTTGAAAATTGGCAACTCAAAACTACTTTCGCGATCTTTCACTGTACTACTATTTTAATAAGAAACACAGCTTTCATCTTTCTTTTTTTTTCCCTAATTAAAGAGAATCAAAAGAAGTTCCCCACTTACCCCCTGGATGACTTGAACTAGTGACTTCTAGGTATCAAGTGAAGAGTACTGAGCTGCCTCTTCTCGTCAACACAGCTTTAATCTTCTCATGAAAACATTTTCACATATTAGCTAAAGCAATAAAAACTTCTTAAACAATAAATATGATATCTATGAGAATGATTTTTATTCCAAGGGAGTGATAAATCGGATTTTTGACTAAATCGGATATAACAAGAGAAGTCCCAAGATTCAGTTGTATTCTCACATCAGCTATCTGACAGTCGTTGATTGGCATTGTTCAATTGTTAGGCCAACAGATATTTTAGGCCACAAAACTCAAGCATTCAGAACAGATTTGTGAAATTTGCTACAAATGTATGGACAACAGACAATTAGATGTTTCTCTACTCTAAACTTCGTACTTAACTTTTTCTGACGCAAAAGTAACCCAATGGTCATTGAATCTTTCAGTTTTATATCTTTTTCACTTAGTAGTAAATACATAGAACATACACTCTATGGAGTCATCAATGAATTTGATGTGTTGACACATATTTTAAGAACATTTATTATTGAACACATACCAAATACGTCATTTTTTTAATAATAGTGAATGGCTAGGTCATGTAATCTGATGGCTCCGAATCAAAACTGATACATTAAAATCATACTCTAATGATCGATTTATTATTATCTCTAACTTTCCCTTTTTAATATATTAATATTTCTATATATTATTAGGTGGTAGCGGGGGATGGATAATATTAACAAAATCTATGGATACACGGTTTAGTGATTACTGAAATCCTAAATCTGCAAAAAAAATAATAATAATCATAAATTTTGACAATATGTATAGTGATACATGATGAAAGGCAGGCTTACACGCTAATCAGCTGGAAGCTGCTTTGCAAGACCTTGAAGAAAACGGGTGAGGGATTTTCTTGCATTAGTGGCGAAAGCTTCTGATTTTTCATTTTCATCCAAACTGGCTTCACGCCCAAGTGTAGAGTGAACTTTACGAACCAACTGCCGAAGTTCCTACGATAGTTAGACAAGGGAGGTTAAGAATTATCAGTAACTGAGCAATGTAAAAGCAGCAAATATGCATTTCTAACCCATTATAGATTTTTATCAGCTAAAATGCCAGTATACATAGCTAATACATTTGGATTTCTCTTTTGAAGTTTGACTTTGCTGAGTGTCTGTGGGTGATAAATATAGTGTACAAGCATTTTACAGGAAAAAGTATAAAAAATAAAAAAAAGTAACCTTTATTAATCAGAGCAATACAAGGTCCATTTTTCGCTCTTTAATTGGTCCTCTTAAGTTTTCATTAATAGGAAAAAACATTTAGTTGTTTAGTTCATTTATGCAGAAATAAGCGATCCGCAAAATGAAGATTGTACTTTTACTCTAGTACAGAAGATGTAATAAGATATTTCAGACAAATGTCTTGTAAGACGGCACTGAAGAAAGGTGCTCAGGATAACTGACCCAACTGCATAATTTAGCATATATTAGAACAATGTTTACATGCTTTTATTGGCGTTTTTTAGGCATAAGTTTATTTACAAAACATTGAACAAGTGTAAGTTTTTATAAATCACTATATCATCTAATTTCCAGATTACTGTGACATGAACTACTCCTAGAAGTCAGTACCCCCATAGGAATGACTCATATTACGCATTAGTGGGGAAAAGTGATTCTGAGTTTTGTAGTAGAGAGCACAAGAGGAATATTGGAAACACGGACACCACTAGGAATCATTTGGAGCAGAAAGAACTCCACTAGAAATGCAAAATATAGTTAGCTAGCTAATATCACCTCAAACAAATATTAGGTCTCTTGCCCAGTTTATCTCAGATTTTAGCATATGTAGGGAAAATATTTTAGATATTGTAGCCGCATTTTTTTTTTTCTAATAAGCAATATGAAATTACCAATTCGGATCAAGTTATGTATCCGAGCTAACCTGACGATCAAACTCGACTTCCCGAAGTGAATAAACTTCATTCATAATGCTAATATCCTTATTGATCAGCCCATCATACCATCTGGTCACAACATGAATGTCCACAGATTCCTGTAAGATGAGGCAGTGCTGAATATAATTTATCTAGTGAAAACATATGATGCATGACGAAGATCATTTCTAACATGATATTACACAAACTAGACTTTCCACAGACAGAATATGTAAAACATGATTTAGAACTGAGATCGGTTATGTAGCATACTGGCTCTAAAAGAAACTAATATGAACAGATCAGTAAGCAAAAAGTATCACAAAAGCATGTAATCTATAAACCATTTAGACCAGTGACAATAAAAATATTAGCAATTAGAAACAAAACTTATCAAATCCTATTGGGCCATCCAACTCTTCAAGAACATCAGCATCTCAGCAAGAAAGACATACATACCCCTTCGTCATACTCATCTGCAATTTCTTCTTCATCATCTTCTTCTTCATCTTCAGAAACCACTGTATCGGACCCTGATAAATTTTGAAACATGTGGTGGTCGCCGTCTTTTGTGGCCTGAATTAATCCATCCATTAGTTGAGGCTCCACTTCACGAATCAGTCTTCCTACGGTAAACATTGACAGGGTTTATGTGTCTATAAAGATTCAATATGCTACATGTGCCAAAGAATGACAAATAATTTTGTAGCAAAAACAGTTCATCAACTAAAGATAGTGAGAATCTTCCCTAAGCTACAAAAGTAAGCAAATCACAAATGCACAAAACAAGAAAGCAGTCATTTCCCAATATTGGAAAAATGTAATCCATCTTTCAGAAGAAACGAATTTAAGTTACACATATGAATGCTGATAACATTGCATTGCTTTAATTCCCTCTGTAATGCGAAAGACAATACCGTGGATATCAAGAAAATACACGAGTACAACCATGAATCCAACATTTTTTTTTCCCCAAAAAAAAAACACTGAACACTTGTAACACATTCTTAGGGATGAATGCCTTGTTTAGTTCATGTATCATAAGTGAACTTCCTTGTTAGTTAAGAGGACAATAACACAAATCTAATATGGTTCGTAAGAAGTGAATTTGCTAGTTAGCCCTCTCAAATAACAATTTGCAGATAACACCATATATATTTCTTTTAAAAGAAAAAGAAAGAACTTCACTGTCATCCTTTTTCACCTATATAATTGAATTGTCTTCGCTTTCCTTCTCGAACATCACGGCCTAGTTTCTGCAAAAACAAATAAACATACATGTTCAAAAGAATCAAACACCTTATGTTCTACCTTAATAGATAGCAGGAAAAAAAATGACACTGAACATCATCACCTTCACTAACATAAGAGCCTCAAACACCTCCTCCTCAAGATCGGCCACTCTGCAAACATGGAACACGCGAAACACATAATCAAATCCCTAGCTTTTGCAGCACTTTCTTCAATCGGCATATAAAATTGAGCAAACAAATTGCAGTTTCAGGTCAAAATACCTGAGGATGCGTTTGATTTGAGATGGAGAGAAGCTCGCAAGCTCCACACCCCATCGCACGGCGCGTCGAGCATCACGCTTCTTCTCGTTGCGGCTCCTCTTCACTTCGACGCCGTCGGAAGCCTCATCGTCGTTCTTGCTGCCGCCACCGGGGACAGAATTGAAGCCGCGCAGTTTGAAAGCGCGTGAGCCGGTGTGAACTTCTCGGCACGAGTTCGAGAAGATCGCAAGGAATGGAAAACCGCCAGTGGCGCGTGTTGAAGAAGAACGGAGGCTGAGGAGGCGAGTGACCGCGGATTGGTTGCGGCAACACCGGGGCCATTGAATTAGCGGCCGAACGACGTGAGCCATTGCGTGTACACACTGTGGACTCGGCTAGCACAGGGAAATATGAAATTGGGCCCATTTTTTTTTTTGGGCTCGATAAACACGGGCTAACAAATTGAGGCAGGAGCCCGTAAGGAAATTTATAAAGATCGAGGAATTCCACTAAACGACCCAACTTTTGAAATTGTGGAGAATTCTGGGGCAGAAAATCAATACTTTTCAATTGAAGAATTGAATTTTGACTTATTCTCAACCGTCATTTAATTTAAGAAAATTCTACAAGTACATAATAAATGTATACAAAGATATACATAGAGTAGAGTCCATTTGATTTTTTATTTTTGGTGGGTCTCACTCAATGTAAGTGTTATGTACACCTCTATGTACACTATTATGTACATATAGCATTACTCTATAATTTAACTCTCAATGCATCAAGTAACTTAATTTTTCAGAACATAATTATTATTCTTTTTCTTTCTCTTTTCTCTCTCCCTTCAGAACGAAAATCCCTAAATCTCCTTTGCCCTAAATATGCGCCTGTCCGCCTTCTCTGGCAGGTCGCCGGGCGTCTCGACGGCGGCTGACCCATGGTTGCACGGCTCTCTCTCTGTGGTGTCGTTGTTCGTTTGCTAGAGCCGGCGGGGGGACGACAGTCCAAGAGGGTTTCTCGCCATTTCCCTGGCCGCCTCTTCGGGCTGGTGGTCGTCTATCTCCCGGGTGGCGAGGCTGTGGCGGGCGCAGGTGCTTCTGATGAGAGGTTGTGGCTCCGACAGTCGGATTGTGGGGTTGGTCGGAGTAGAGGAGACTTGACTCTCCCCTTTGTTCCCTTGGCCTCTGGTGCGTGGGTCGAGGGGACGGCCGGCTCGACAAGCCCTGGTCCGTGGTGTGGGCAGAGCTCGGGCGGTGGTATGGTGGAAGTTTGGTTTAGTTTCCTCCGGCTGAGGGTGGGGGGGCTGCTTGGGTGCAGGGTCCATTTCTAGGGTCTAATTCTAGTTAGGTGTATAAGTTTCAGTTTCTGGTTTTGAGGTCTGGGGCGAGTTCCGGTCCGTATGGGTGGTCGGCTATATGTGTTGTTGTTGTGGTTGCTTGACGTGTTCCCGGCCGTGAAAAAAGTTTTATCCTTTTTTATCTTTTTAGGTTGTGTTTGTGTATTTTGATGTTTTGTTAGAGTTTGGCGTGTTTGCTTTGTGTGTGAGTTGTATTTTGTTTTTTTATCCTTTGGAGGAGCGTATTATTCTCCTGTTGGGAATATGTGTTATTCTTCTGTTGGGAGTTTTTATTTTTCTTTTTTTTTTTTTGTATGTAATTTTTTTTACAGACAAATAAAAAAAATGGAAATAGAAATAGAAGGATTGAAAAAAGTTTTTATAAGCATGTTTTAGTTGAGAATTGATATAAAATAAAAAAAAAATATATACGATACAAATATAATAAAATATTAATTGATAATAATTGACAGTTTGAAATATGTAAGTGATTAAATGGTTTTCATTAAAAAAATATGTAATAGTAAATATTTTATATTTAAATTTTGTGCAAGGAATTGTTGAGAAAAAAAAAAAAAATAACATTAGATTAATAGTGTCTTCTCTACAACAGTGTATATCTAATTTATCTATAGAAAATAAGAATAATGTTAAATCATTTTTAGAAATATTTTCTTACGAATATCATTAATTACATACTACAAAAAAGTAAGTTTTATATTCTTTTTAAGTGTTTTTAAATAAAATTAAAAAGTAGCATTAAATTCATTGCCATAATTCATTGGTGATTGTCATGCCATATTCTCGGTTTTTATTATAAGAAAAATATTTTTGGATTATGTATTGTGTATATTTCGAATATATTTAAAATCAAACCATTCTAGTGATATCGTAACCTATTATTTTATTATAACGATTTTGTTGAGTGTATTTTTTCTTTTCTAGCAATTTTTTAAAAAATCACCGATTAAAAAACGAAGTCTTAATATTCTAATTCTAGACAGTACATATACCTTTTTATTTTTATTTTTTTACAACCAAAACTTAAAACTGCAATGGAATTGAAAACGTTATAGTAACAATTTTCTTTTTATATTTTTTTATAAGAATAGGCTATAAAAGTGCGATATAAAT